AGTAAATAAGCATTCAGAAAAATGAAAATGTAAGAAAAAAAAAAGCAGTGGTTATTGTCACACATAATCTACTGAGCATTAGGGACAATACTGGAGGAACAGCTACACCCGAATTGTGCAGAAAGCAGCATCAATAGAGCTGAGAACAAACAGGAAATCAGAAATCTGGACAGCAACAAATGAGAGTTCCTGTGGACACCAGGGGGTGAGAATAAGTGGCAGTTACATTTTGGCCTAAATAGTCAAATGTCTTTGGGGGCTTTGGCAGCCAGAGTACCATTAAACTTGATGGATGGATTTCGCCAGAGTTGGTGGAACGCTCTCGAAACACACTTTCTTGCTATTTCCAGGATGGAAACCCGTATTTTTGCTGCTTCATTTGTGTTGTTTAGGGGTCATAGAACAAAGACTAAGACACTGAAATGAATAAAACAAACAAAAATGATAAAGAAAGTAATTGGGTCATAGTGGAACTAACAATTAAAACCATGAAGTCTAAAAATTCTCTGACAGGATTACTTAGTAAACTCTTTATTTCCAGAATCAACAAACTGAGAGCGCTCTTGCCAGTTTTTCTGTGGTCAGATTAACTGGCCTTCGCAACCTTAAATAGTATGCATATGGATTCTGATCAAAGTAAGTTGAAATAACGAATTTTTAAAACCCTGAATCTTTATGGTAAGAAAACACTTTTCAGTTAGTGCTATCAAAAGAATCCTATAAAATAGAGAACAGAGAGTGGTTTTGGATCAAGGCCTTTTCATACCATTAAAATGAAAATTTTACCCTTTGATTATCAAGGCCTCGGAGGAAAGAAATATCTCCTGTTAGCTTGCTGTCAAGTCCTAATGGGGTGACAGTGAAGAAATTCTTATAACAGAAGACATTTTTGTCATAAGTAATTTTGAAAAGGTACCCTAAAAACAGAATCATTTGCACACATTTGAAACCTCACATTTTTTCTTTCTTTGTTTTAGGGAGATAAAATGCCTTTATTACACAATGCCTGATGGGGCTCTGTTAGATACTGGGCATTTTTAGAGATAATAACCTTTAAACTTGATAAACTTCATAAACTTGCCTTTGACTTACTTAATTTAATAATTTATGTAAAATTACTCTGCTTCTATCATTAAAACTATTTCCAGTAATACCATTATGTAACAAAAGAAAATTTCTTTTTAATACTTACAATAAATCTTGTTAGTAAAAGACAAGACTAGGCGAAAGTCCAAAATAAACGTCACACTATAAATACCTTGTACTGGGAAGAGACTGCAGGTATTTATCTGTCCATTTATCAAGGTCACTATTTTAAATTCAAACCTTGGAATGGTACTTGACTTTGATTTTGATTATCAGGAATTGCTTTCATTAATGAATGGCTTAAACAGCATCTGTGGATAGACTCAGGCAGCCTGCTGGGGCCAAATGCTATTTATTGCAGGTGTATTTTGCTTAAAAAATAATTTATTTGTAAGAGTTGGGCTTCTATATCCAGTTAATCAGAGAAGCACTTCTTTTCAGAAGCAGTGAGTTATGATTAAGGGCGCAGTGTAAAAAATATCTACATTACATTCCCTAAGAAAGAAAATTCACATCTTTTATTTTAGGTAAATGGATAAAAGGAGAAAATGGAAAGAAAGAAAATTGGAAGCTTTATTTAAATGGGTCGAATCAAGCCACTTTTGAGAGGCTTGAAAAGAGGTTATAAGTGTTGAATTTCTAAAAAAGTGTCATTCATAAACAATTCACTGCTCATTTGCTTAATGCAATCCAAAATATGAGATAAAAAGTTTTACAGCCTGAATTCATAGACTTAAGAAGCTTACAGTTAACAAAAGAGGTAAATATTTATGCTTCTCAGTGCACAAAACAGTGGAGTAAGTGTTATGAGTGGTGCAAAGTGGATGCCAGTGGTTTGCAGTGAAGAAAGTGTTCAATTTTGGCAGCAATGTTTAAGAAAGCCTTTATGGGTCAACTTTAATACTGGTTACTAAAATTAGGTAGGATTTTGAGATGTAACAATATGGGGGAAACAACCACCTTAACAGAAATCTGATCAAGCCTTGCAACAACTAAACATTAAAAATATATCTGAGTCTTTTTGCTTGCCAGGTATTACAAGAAATATTTGTATTATATCATTTAATCTTCTCAACAGTAAAGAATATATTCACACAGCCTATCCTTATATAAAACATTTACAATATCCAGGCTCTGTTCTATGTGATTTACATATATATTATTTCATTTATTCCACACATAGCCATCTGTGATAGTAATTATTATAACTGAAATGAGTTCAAGAAACTTCCAATAAACCAAAAAGCCCAAGGTCAAACACTGTTGGTTTCTTGCTGCTTGCACCCACTAGCATATTCTGACACACTGGGAGTAAAATAAGATTAATTTTTGACAATTTGTGAAATAAAACCTAAACTCACAAATTAAATGTACAGAACACTCATCGTTGAAGGAAGACAATGACTTCAAGCCTGCAGACTTCCTACATTAATAATAACGTCAAGGAAAAAAACCCAGTCTATTTCAGTTTAGAGGGTTTAGATGTCAGTGGAAGCGTGGAAACACTATAGTGGTTGAGACAAAACAAGCTGACCCGCTGGTAGCAAAAATAGCTGCTTACCAACAAAATAACCCTTATTCCAGATTAGAGAGAGTGGACATAAACCTTCTTGGCACAGCAGGCAATGAGCTCATGTTAATGTCAGTTCCTCTTGACCGCAAGTCCACAAGGCCACGTGAGGCAGTTCTGGTGGGTTCTGTACATGTTGTGGGCTTATGTAGTGACGGAGGAACCCCGAGGTGTGGTATATCCTCTTCTCTCGCGAGAACTTCTGCTTTCAAAATGTGCAGTAACATAAAAGCCTACATTGTTGGCCACTAGTAAATATCCCCATGTGTTTGCCACTCCTCTGATTAATCTGAACAATGGGAACTGGGGTCCAAACCATGCATTACTTTCTCTCCTATATTTATTTAAGGATACTATGAGTAGGACTTTAATGAGCAAGATTGCTCTTAGCCATTAGTACCAGGGTCCCGAATTAGGCCAATACCCTCAAAATTCTGGTGAGCTCTCAAATTTCTGCATAAACCATAAACATGGCCAGAGGCATTAA